TTTACTTATACGTATAATGTGGTGTCTTGTCACTCGAAGTATTAATATATCAAAACCTACCGCGCATTCAAAGTATCAACCGACATCGAGCGTGATCTATTTGCGTTGCGAAAGTTATCCATGGCAAGTCAACCAAACCACTGTCGGACCATAGTCTTACAGCGTCGCCAGAAGTCGCTTAATGGAGGGTGTTCCTTCCAGCTGAAGGCGACACCCCCGTCAATTTCAAAATCGCGAACGGATTCGTGCGAGGCCACTGTATACCAAAATTAACGGATAAATTCAACGTTAAAGCGTAATTCGATTCGGCGCCGTTTAAGGGGGATTCGTCATTGTTTGTCAGCGAAAAGCGCAACATCGCGTGGATGATGGACGAATGCGCATCCACGGGTACCGTCCGAACTCTTCGAAGGGGCTAGCTGGAAGACGGATCGCGATCCAACGATATGTGACGTGTTTTTTTAAATTCGACACACTTTTGTCTGATACGAATCCGCATCATATATTACCGGGTCAAGGTTAAGAATACTTGACGATGGTTGACAGCGACGCTGACAGATGGTACGATTGGAAGCGAGATAATGTTAATGAAATGCTCAATGGGGGGGACATTAACGCCTCGAGTGATTTGTGCCTGGCTGCTCCGAATCGATTGAGTTATTCGACTTGCAACGACGGTCAGAAAGAAAGTTCCCGCAGCAATGGGCTTATCCACCATAACGCGATCTCTTCGAGCTCTAGATCCGGCGCGGAAGTCCGGTTCATTAATCCAGCGATTTACGCCGAGACGTTGAACGACGAAGATGAGGAGCGCGAAATAAAAATTCGCGTGAAAGTCAGTTCTAAAGACAATGGAGCTCCGATGGAGGGTAGTTGCAGCGATTCTTCGGGAATTAGCGACATAATGTCTATGTTGGCCATCAAGAATGACCTAGCGACACCGTTCGAGAACCATATCGGTGATCAAGCTTTGTCCCAGAATACCTATCGTTGTTATTCGTTAAATTCACCGGTTGCATCTCTGGAATCTGGCCCTCTACGATCGAAGTCTGTGGTTTCGTGCAGGCCCTCCAATCGGGTTGAGAGGCGATGCAGAATCATTGGCAGAGCAGACGGGAATGACGAACTTTGCTCCGCTAGGCTAGTCGATCCGGAAGTGCAGAGGTATTCCGTGAATTTGTGAATATTTGCTAGAGAGACTTGCCGGTTTAATTTGCAGCCGATTTTCGTAATCTGAAATACTCGTGAACGATCGAAATTGACGACAATCAGATAGCGATTCGATGAATTATGTATCTACATCGTTTTAAGCTTATGTCAGCTTAAATTGGTCAATACAGACCGTTTATCTTCGAGTATTCAATTGGTTGAATTATCGATTACATTTTTGAGTGTCGGTGATTTTATCAGCTCATAATAAATTGCGTCTTGAGCATTTATTCATGAGCCACAAGTATTTTCAGGAGAATGTACTTCACGTATCGGCGAGTGAAATAAGTTTTTATTAGTTTTACAAGATCTGCATCGTATCTTTTTTAATCTACACATAGGCTATTTGTTGAGTGAGAACTTTAAAATTAATATGGAGAATTAACACGTTGAGTGCCGTACGATTTTGTCAAGTAAAATATACAAAATGAAAATAATGTAACATCAAGTTATTTAATTGAATTACGTTATTATTATTGCAGGTTTATCTTGTCGAATGTCACTGCATTAGCTAGTATTACTTGTAATATAGAAAAGTTTTCAAATAATCATCGTTTAATCGAATGAATTATAGTCATTCGATTTGGTTGAGGTCACCGGTGACCCCCATAGCATCCAACGCGTTAACTGAAATAAATACATTGAAATATAAAGTTCACTTGTCACTCGATTCTCAAGACATAACGTTGTACAGGTACACTCTAAATGGACACCGAGTGGTGCAAGTTTCCACAGCCTCATTATCCAGCATCAGTATTTTGGAGACCAGGTCGATGAAGCACGATCTTAAAAAGATCCCTTACAGCGAGTGGATGCGATGCAAGCAGCAGGCGGCGAGACAAAAGAGAGAAGAAGAGGATCAGGCGAAGAGGGAAGAGCAAATGGAGGCGGAGAGGTTGGTTCGCGAGAAAGAAGAGAGGGAATCTCGGGAACGGGAGAATTTTCTGAAGTGGAGCGAGAGGAAAAGAAAAGAAGAGGAAAGGAAGAAGGAGATGGTGGCGAAGGAATTGGAAATGCAGAAGAAGCTGAAGGAGTTCGAGGACAAAAGTGTCGTGATGAAGTCTCTGTGTCTTCGTCAGTGGGCTCATAAGAAGAAAGAGGAGGAGAAAGGTAAATCAAGTGGAAGGATACTTCGATTTCTCCTAGGATTCTTATTCGCGATGTTCTCGTAGCTCGCCAAAAGAAAGAAGAAGTAAAACAGAAGAAAATTGACGAGGAAAAGAAGAAAAGATTAGAGGAGAGCACAAAGGCTTATGAAAATTGGCGGAAGAATGCGAAGAACAAGCCTAAGCCTGCTACACAGGGACTTCTGCGTTAGTTTCACTGATTCAATCTTCATATCTTACATTTATAGTATCACCACTGGAAATTTCATTAAGCGTAGTGCTGCTTCTGTAACCTCGTGTTATGATAACTCCCTTAACATCTATCCTCATTTCAATTTTCATTATCTTGTGGTGCCACTCAACTGGCTTTTGAGAAAGATTAATGGTAACAAGTGTCATAACTCTCAAGGATCTCGCTACATTAATGTTAATTTCAAACAACCAGCGCATCAGAAAGCGAAACCATCGTACGTGAATCCGACGCCCTGGCAGGGAATCGTCGACGAGTCCGAGGACGACGAGGTGAACTCGTCGAACGGCAGGAGGACTCACCATGGTCAGCAGGCGAAGATTATCAGTAAAAAGAGTACCACGTATTATCAGTGATGCGAACGTCATCGAGAAATGAGGATTCGAGGACTCTGCAGCTCGAAGACCAGTCATGTGGTCAGTCATTCTACGTCGGGGCAAGGTGCGGTCCAAGGGAGGTATCA